GTCAGGAGATCGGAGGCCATCCTGGGCTAACATGGTGAAACCCGTCTCCACTAAAAAGAATAACAAAAATTAAGCCCGGGCATGGTTGGCGGGGCGCCCTGTAGTTCCCAGCTACTGCGGATGCTGAAGGCAGGAGAATGGTGTGAACCCAGGAGGGCGGAGCTTGCCAGTGAGCCGAGATCCGGCCACTGCACCTCCCAGCCTGGGCGACAGAGCGAGACTTCCGGTCTCAAAAAAAAAAAAAAAAAAGATCCGAGACCATTTCCTGGCCAACACGCGGTTTAACTCCGTCTTCTACTAAAAATACCAAAAATTAGCCTGGGCGCTGCTGGCGGGCGCCCTGTTAGTCCCAAGCTACTTGGGAGGTGAGGCAGGAGATGGCGTGAACGTGGGAGGCGGAGTATGCAGTGACCCGAGATCGCGCCACTGCCCACTCCAGTGTGGCAGCAGAGCGGGAGAACTCCTCTCAAAAAATAAAAAAAAAAAAAGGTGCATTATAACACCTACACCTACATACGTGTGTATCGAGTTAGTTGGGTTGTAAGGTGTCACGGGCCGGGCGCGATCGCTCACGCCGTAATCCCAGGCACTTCAGAGGCGAGGGTATCATCGAGGTCGGAGTGGAGACCCAGCATGCCAACAATAGCGGAAAACCCGGCTCCCCTAAAATATACAAAAATTAGCCGGGTGTGGTTGCAGACGCCTTATCCCAGCTCCTTGGGAGGCTGAGGGCGGTGGAATGGCTTGACCGCCCGACTTGGCCTCCCAAAGTGCTAGGATTACAGGCGTGAGCCACCGTGTCCGGCCTATACCGCGCATTTTTAAGCTTTATGTGCCCAAAGGTGTGTGGAGTCATAAGCAAATATTTTTTGTGGGGGCGCCTGTCTATATAAACAATTTGAGTTGCCCAAACCTGCATATTAGTACCATTCTGGCAGCCCAATCTTGTGCTATGCCATCTGCCAACAGGAACACCAGCCAACTGCGCCAGCCAACAAGAGCAATCTGCTCACAGTTCTTCCTGGAACCAAGATTTGGCACCTAAAGGCACAGCCCAGGGCTGCTAGGGGCATCTGGTCAATCTCAGGCGCTGTGCAAAGGGTGGAGAGGAAGGCTAGTCATCTGAGTCTCTGTCCAAGCTCCGCCCTAGCTCCTGAGATGTGGGACCCGCGACAGGGGCTCCATTTGCACCAGTCTAGGACCAGTACCAGTATACCACATGTGTACTTCTGAAGTTCACATTTACCATTCAACATTGTATGAATTATCCATGTTGACAACGACAGCTCTAGCTCATTCACTTGCACTGTTACTTAGCATTCCATTATATAGACAATTTATTTATTCATTCTTCTGATAATGGACATTTTGTTTGTTTCCAATTTCCTACTATAAAAGAATTCAAGTGGTGTCATTCACCTGGGCTAATACCCGAGCTTCGTTGTCCCACGCCAAGGAAATCAAGGACGCCACATATGGAGTGAAGTTAACAGTGGTGGTTTAATACGCGAAAGAAAGAGAAATGCTCTCTCCTGCAGATAGAGGGAGTCCAGAGCGGGTCTTCAGGTCCGCAGTGAAGTGCAGGAGGTTTTATAGATGAGCTTGAGGAGGCGGTGTCTGATTTACCTAGGGCACAAAAGATTGGTCAAACCAGTTGTGCCATTTGCATACCGCACGAAGAACTGGTTAGGACTGGGTGTTCCATTTGCATAGCGTGCAAAGAAGCTGGCTGCCCCACCCTAAACTTTTACTGTGCAGATGGGTTCTCTACGTGGCGGGTGCCATGTTGCCTGCTTCTTTACTGCACACGTGGTGACAAAGAAAAGGGAAGATGGAGTCTCTATATTGAATATACCTGGTCCTGAGGTAGCCTTTTCCTGTTGGCACAGCTGCCAGCATTCACCCATATAAGCTTCCAGCTTGCTTATCTGTGTTTGCAGCTTGATTTTATAGGCTGCTCTTTGTTAGAAAAGAAATGATTTGGGGGCTGCTTTTGTTTAAAAGGCAGCCTTACCAAGGACTCCTTTACCCTCACTATCTGCCTAAATAATTTCTTTTTAGCTGCTGTATCAGCATGATACATTAGATATTCTTCGACATGTTTCCTGCCATGTGCAAGGGTTTGTCTGCAGTGCATACCTAAAAAGGGAGTTATTGCATCTTATCGTATGTGTATTTTCAACTTTATTACATATTTTCAACTTATTCTACCAAGCGATTACCAATTTACATGATCATTACTGTAAATTGTTTCATAGCCACATCAATTGTTGGTATTATCACCCTGAAATAATCAAACAGGTTAGAATCTAATTTGAAAAGACTTTATTCAAATGCAAAGTTTGAGAATAGTCCACCAGGAAACCAACTCTAAGGAATGGAGCTGGCAGTTCAAAGTAGGAAAGTTAAGGTTTCGTTTATATATAGGGAGAGACAGAGTAGATTTAGCAAGATTACAACAGTTTTCATACAAGGTGGTACATAGTTATAGCACTTTGATTGATGGTAGGCAGTGTTTGTGGGAATGCTACATTTAGCATTTTTTTTTGTATCTATAAAGGGTATAATAGTGATGGGTTTGTCATCTGCGATCAGCAAAGCAGGACAACAAAGGGGACGTTAATCAATAACAAAGGCCATTAATTAGGAAAGCAGGAGGTTGTTGTTCCTGGTGTCATTTAATTGTCTCTAGTTATTGTACAGAACAAGAAAAATAAGAAAGTAAGTTAATCCATAATCTGAGAAACAGAAGTTGTAATCATATATGATCTGAGTCATGACTCAGATCACAGTCACATCTCTCTCAGTGCTTAAAGTGTTTTGGGATTCCAACAGCTTTTAAGCTATATTTATTTTCACATTATCATCAGATTTAAAATTTTAGCCAAGCCGAAGGGTGTGAAACAGTATTTCACTATGGTTTTAATGTCCATTTTCCTGATTACTAGTAACTTTTTCTATGTTCATTTACTATTTTGTTTTTTCCTTTAGGGAATTGCCTTTTTCTATTGGGTTATCTGTCTTTTTAATAGTAGGTCTCCATATATTTTGGATACTTTATAAAATCTACTACTAATATTTATGAGCAAAATATGTTGCATATATCTTGTGTTAGTCCATTTGTTCTTTTAAGAACACCTGAGACTGGGTGATTTATAAAAAAACAGAAGTGTGTCTGGGCCAATGGTTCTACAGGCTATACAAGCATGGCACCAACATCTGCTCAGCTTCTGATGAGGCCTCAGGAAGCTTACAATCATGGCAGAAGGTAAAGGAGGAGCAGGCAATATCACATGGCAAGAGCAGGAGCAAGAAAGATGGTGGGGGTGGGTTCAACACTCTAAACAACTAGATCTCACGGGAACTAAGAGTGAGAACTCACTTATCACCAAGGGGATGATGCTAAACCATTCATGAGGGATCCGTCCCCGTGATCCAGTCATCTCCTACCAGGCCCAACTTCCAACATGGGAATTGAATTTCAACCTGAGATTTGGTGGGAAAAAGACATTCAAACTATATGATACCTTCTCAGAGTCAATAGCTTATTTTTTTTACTGTTTGTGTCTTTGGAGCACAGTTTTAAAATTTAGTATCAGTGAAGTTATCAAATTGTTATTTACACTTTTTGTTACTTATAAGAAATATTTCCCTAACCTGAGATCATAAGCATTTTCTTCTAAAAGTGCAAAACTTTTATCTTTCCTATTTAGATCTTCAGCCAACCCTGGAATTGATTTTTGTTTATAATGTGAACATTCAGCTTTATTTTTTTCCCATATGAATAACCAATTGTCTGGACACCATTCTTTGCCACTGATCTTCCATGGCACTCTGATGTTTTTCAATTTCTATACAGGCATGGGCATTTTTCTGTGCTTTCTGCTCTAAACCATTTATCTATTTTTCTGTGCCTTCATCAATACCACTCTGAATTATTAGACCTTTATAATAAGTAGTTATACCTGGTA